ATATTTCCACCCATGGGTGTAATATTCTCTACCATGGGTGTAATATTCCCTCCCATGTGCGTAATATTCCCTCCCCTGGGTGTAATATTTCCACCCATGGGTGTAATATTCCCTACCAAGGGTGTAATATTCCCTCCCATGTGCGTAATATTCCCTCCCCTGGGTGTAATATTTCCACCCATGGGTGTAATATTCTCTACCATGGGTGTAATATTCCCTACCATGGGTGTAATACTCCCTCCCCTGAGTGTAATATCCCTCCCTCAATGTTTGTTCTCCTGCATGCAAAATATTCCTTCTATAACACATTCAATTTCCTGAACATAACATTTTCTCTTGTGGAATGAGATACATTCTTCCCCTGAATATGTCACATCGTCTCCATGGAGGTGTCACATTCTCTCTCCGAATGTGTCAAATTCTCTGAATGTGTAAAATTCTCTCTCTGAATGTGTCACATTCTTTATCTGAATGTGTCACATTCTCTCCCTGAATGTGTCATATTCTTTCTCTGAATGTGTCACAGTCTCTCTCTGAATATGTCACATTCTCTGAATGTGTCACATTCTCTGAATGTGTCACATTCTCTGAATGAGTCAGATTCTCTGAATGTGTCACATTCTCTATCTGAATGTGTCACATTCTTTCTCTGAATATGTCACATTCTCTGACTGTGTCACATTCCCTGAATGAAATCACATTCTCTGACTGTGTCACATTATCTGAATGTGTCACATTCTCTCACTATGTCACATTCTCTGAATGTGTAACATTCTCGGACTGTGTCACATTCTCTGAATGTGTCACATTCTCTAACTGTGTCACATTCTCTGATGTGTCACATTCTCTGACTGTGTCACATTCTTGAATGTGTAACATCTATGACTTTTGTCACATTCTCACAATGTGTCACATTTAGCAGTGCTAACTTCCCCTCAATTAAAACTCTTTACTTCAGTTAACAGATCAAAGAATCTTTGTTATGGTACAGCAACAGTGTGGCTGATACGTTATGTAGGTTAATTGTTATGGTACAGCAACAGTGTGGCTGATACGTTAGGTAGGTTAATTGTTATGGTACAGCAACAGTGTGGCTGGTACGTTAGGTAGGTTAATTGTTATGGTACAGCAACAGTGTGGCTGATACGTTAGGAAGGTTAATGGTTATGGTGCAGCAACAGTGTGGCTGGTACGTTAGGTAGGTTAATTGTTATGGTACAGCAACAGTGTGGCTGATACGTTAGGAAGGTTAATGGTTATGGTGCAGCAACAGTGTGGCTGATACGTTAGGAAGGTTAATTGTTATGGTGCAGCAACAGTGTGACTGGTACGTTAGGTAGGTTAATTGTTATGGTACAGCAACAGTGTGACTGGTACGTTAGGTAGGTTAATTGTTATGGTACAGCAACCCGTGTGACATGGTACGTTATGTAGGTTAATTGTTATGGTGCAGCAACAGTGTGACTGGTACGTTAGGTAGGTTAATTGTTATGGTACAGCAACAGTGTGGCTGGTACGTTAGGTAGGTTAATTGTTATGGTACAGCAACAGTGTGGCTGATACGTTAGGTAGGTTAATTGTTATGGTACAGCAACAGTGTGGCTGGTACGTTAGGTAGGTTAATTGTTATGGTACAGCAACAGTGTGACTGGTACGTTAGGTAGGTTAATTGTTATGGTACAGCAACAGTGTGGCTGGTACGTTAGGTAGGTTAATTGTTATGGTACAGCAAACAGTGGGGACTGGTACGTTAGGTAGGTTAATTGGTTATGGGAACAGCAAAGTGGGGCTGGTACGTGTAGGTTAATTGTTATGGTACAGCAACAGTGGGTGATACTTTAGGTAGGTTAATTGTTATGGTACAGCAACAGTGTGACTGGAAACGTTATGTAGGTTAATTGTTATGGTACAGCAACAGTGTGGCTGGTAGTTAGGTGGGTTTTAAATGTTATGGTACAGAACAGTTGTGGTGGTACGTTAGGTAGGTTAATTTTTATGGTACAGCAACAGTGTGGCTGGTACGTTAGGTAGGTTAATTGTTATGGTACAGCAACAGTGTGACTGGTACGTTAGGTAGGTTAATTGTTATGGTACAGCAACAGTGTGGTGGTACGTTAGGTAGGTTAATTTGTTAGGGTACAGCAACATTGTGACTGGTACGTTAGGTAGGTTAATTGTTATGGTACAGCAACAGTGTGGCTGGTACGTTAGGTAGGTTAATTGTTATGGTACAGCAACAGTGTGGCTGATACGTTAGGTAGGTTAATTGTTATGGTACAGCAACAGTGTGACTGGTACGTTGGGTTGGGTTTTAATTGTTATGGAAACAGCAACAGTGTGGCTGGTACGTTAGGTAGGTTAATTTTTTAGGGTACAGCAAACAGTGTGGACTGGTACGTTAGGTAGGTTAATTGTTATGGTACAGCAACAGTGTGGTGGTAGTTAGGTAGGTTAATTGTTATGGTACAGCAACGTGTGACTGGTCGTTAGGTAGGTTAATTGTTATGGTACAGCAACAGTGTGGCTGGTACGTTAGGTAGGTTAATTGTTATGGTACAGAAACAGTGTGACTGGTACGTTAGGTAGGTTAATTGTTATGGTACAGCAACAGTGTGGCTGGTACGTTAGGTAGGTTAATTGTTATGGTACAGCAACAGTGTGGCTGATACGTTAGGTAGGTTAATTGTTATGGTACAGAAAACAGTGTGGCTGGTACGTTAGGTAGGTTAAATTGTTATGGTACAGCAACAGTGTGGCTGGTCGTTAGGTAGGTTATTGTTATGGTACAGCAACAGTGTGACTGGTACGTTAGGTAGGTTAATTGTTATGGTACAGCAACAGTGTGGCTGGTACGTTAGGTAGGTTAATTGTTATGGTACAGCAACAGTGTGACTGGTACGTTAGGTGGGTTTAAATTTGTTATGGTACAGCAACAGTTTTGGCTGGTCGTTAGGTAGGTTAATTGTTATGGTACAGCAACAGTGTGGCTGATACGTTGGGGTAGGTTAATTGTTATGGTACAGCAACAGTGTGGCTGGTACGTTAGGAAAGGTTAATTGTTATGGTACAGCAACAGTGTGGCTGATACGTTAGGAAGGTTAATGGTTTATGGTGCAGCAACAGTGTGGCTGATACGTTAGGAAGGTTAATTGTTATGGTGGGGCAGCAACAGTGTGACTGGTACGTTGGGTTTAGTTAATTGTTATGGTACAGCAACAGTGTGACGGGTACGTTAGGTAGGTTAATTGTTAATGGTACAGCAACAGTGTGACTGGTACGTTATTGTAGGTTAATTGTTATGGTGCAGCAACAGTGTGACTGGTAGTTAGGTAGGTTAATTGTTAGGTACAGCAACAGTGTGACTGGTACGTTAGGTAGGTTAATTGTTTGGTTTACAGCAACAGTATGACTGGTAGTTAGGTAGGTTAATTTTTTTGGTGCAGCAGCAGTGGGGACTGGGTACGTTAGGAGGTTTTAATTGTTATGGTACAGCAACAGTGTGATGGAACGTTAGGTGGGTTAATTGTTATGGTACAGCAACCCCCGTGACTGGTACGTTAGGAGGTTAATGGTTATGGTACAGCAACAGTGTGACTGGTACGTTAGGTAGGTTAATTTTTTATGGACAGCAACATTTGTGACTGGTAGTTAGGTAGGTTAATTGTTATGGTACAGCAACAGTGTGACTGGTACGTTAGGTAGGTTAATGGTTATGGTACAGCAACAGTGTGACTGGTACGTTAGGTAGGTTAATTGTTATGGTACAGCAACAGTGTGACTGGTACGTTAGGTAGGTTAATTGTTATGGTGCAGCAGCAGTGTGACTGGTACGTTAGGAAGGTTAATTGTTATGGTACAGCAACAGTGTGACTGGTACGTTAGGTAGGTTAATTGTTATGGTACAGCAACCGCGTGACTGGTACGTTAGGTAATTTAATTGTTATGGTACAGCAACCGCGTGACTGGTACGTTAGGTAGGTTAATGGTTATGGTACAGCAACAGTGTGACTGGTACGTTAGGTAGGTTAATTGTTATGGTACAGCAACAGTGTGACTGGTACGTTAGGTAGGTTAATGGTTATGGTACAGCAACAGTGTGACTGGTACGTTAGTTAGGTTAATTGGGTTTCATGTTTATCAACTACACGAGGGTCATTAAGGCTACACCAGAGTCTTTAAAACTACAGTAAGTTCATTAGGCTGCGTGAGGATCATTTAGGCTACACCACCAGACAAATAACCTTTTATACCTAAAATTGGGATTAAAGTAAATTTTTTAAAGCACCGGATGCCTCCCACCAAGGCAGCCGGCTGCGTCCCACCCAGGCAGGGTGACCAGGAAAAGAAGAAGCACTTTCACCATCACTTCATCACTGTCTTGCCGGATAGTGTCCGGATAAAACTGATGTATTTCTTGTGAATTATATCATCATAACATTGTTTCTTGGTCCTGCTTCCGTCCATTGTTCACCTGCTTCTGCTTCCATCCATTGTTCACCTGCTTCTGCTTCCGTCCATTGTTCACCTGCTTCTGCTTCCGTCCATTGTTCACCTGCTTCTGCTTCCGTCCATTGTTCACCTGCTTCTGCTTCCGTCCATTGTTCACCTGCTTCTGCTTCCGTCCATTGTTCACTTGCCCGTGTTCTATTCTATTGTTCCCCCGCCTCTTCATCCTTCAGTGGTATCCTGTACTCTCCCCTCAAGCAAGTGTTCCTGCCTTCTAATCATGCTCAGATATTCTGGGCTTCTCTCTCTATCTTGTGTGGTGCTCTCATATTTTATAATATGAGAGCACCAGGTCCAGAAGTCTGTTCGAGTGACTTTACCGAATGAATTTATTCCCATCAGGAATAATGTAAATTAGATTAGTCCATTTCAGACCCTCAAAAATACACTTATAAAAGCACTTACCAAAATACATTTACATAATTGGTCGTGTTGGGAGCAGTTCGATTTTTGAGGTTCCACTGTACTTGTATGTGTGTTTGTGTTACCTACAGGCTCCCCGGTGATCCAGGTTGTAGCCACGGACCATGATGACCCGAAGGAAGGGCAGAACGCGCAGCTCGTTTACTCCCTGGAGAAGAATGCCATCGACGAGGCTACGGGTAGCCCTATCTTCACTATTGACACCCATCTGGGGTTGATCACTACAGCCCTCTGCTGTCTCGACCGTGAGAAGACCCAGCGCTACTCCATCCAGGTTGTGGCTACTGACGGAGGTGGTCTTAAAGGTACGTCTCGCATGTAGGTGGGCGATGGGTGTCGTTAGGTACCGTGAATATTACGGAACTAGGGTTTTATATCCGCCCAGTTACTATCACATATTTAATTAAACTTACGACACCACACTACATGTCTTTTCTGCCACCAGTAACAAATATTCTGCTTTATATTATTACCAGACAACAGGTGTTGTAGAACACCTGCAGCCTAGTGACTAGTTTACAACAGATTCCACGCGGAAATGTTTAATGCTTACGCCTCCTGGGTTATTAGGTTTCCAGTGCAACCTGGGTCATGTCTGGTCACTTCAGGAGTGGATCAAGAGCTTGTATAGGGCTGAGGACGTCATTTTTCCCAACTACAAAGAGAAGGCGGGTTACAGCCTGCCGGACGACACAGTTTAATATATATATATATATATTATATATATATATTATATTTTATATATATATATTATATATATATATATATATATATATTTTATATATATATATATATATTAATTTTATATAATATATATTATATATATAATTTATTGTTTAAATAACAGACAATGTAAATCTAAAGAATTATATGTTTATATGATAACTAAGTAGGAATACCCATATGTTTTTGTTCAGGCAAAAATAAAAATTAGGATTAAATCTTGTATTAAAAATTATATAACAGTATTAAAATATTTTCGAATGGTCATTATAGTCGTTGTCTTACCAGTTAGTGTCAGATTCCATATCCATAAGATATAAAAATTTATACACAATAGTCTTGAATTATTATTCCATCTTGACAGGTCAGATATATAAGTAATCATCTATAATTTCCAAATTTAGTTTCATAACTTTATTCCATGAACTAAAATATCATAGAATATGTGAATAACAGCCAGTGGCACCAACCTCACTTGTTATGTGAGTCCTTAACTCAGTGGCACCAACCTCACTTGTTATGTGAGTCCTTAACTCAGTGGCACCAACCTCACTTGTTATGTGAGTCCTTAACTCAGTGGCACCAACCTCACTTGTTATGTGAGTCCTTAACTCAGTGGCACCAACCTCACTTGTTATGTGAGTCCTTAACTCAGTGGCACCAACCTCACTTGTTATGTGAGTCCTTAACTCAGTGGCACCAACCTCACTTGTTATGTGAGTCCTTAACTCAGTGGCACCAACCTCACTTGTTATGTGAGTCCTTAACTCAGTGGCACCAAACCTCACTTGTTATGTGAGTCCTTAACTCAGTGGCACCAACCTCACTTGTTATGTGAGTCCTTAACCCAGTGGCACCAACCTCACTTGTTATGTGAGTCCTTAACCCAGAGGCACCAACCTCACTTGTTATGTGAGTCCTTAACTCAGTGGCCACCACCTCACTTGTTATGTGAGTCCTTAACCCCAGAGGCACCAACATCACTTGTTATGTGAGTCCTTAACCCAGGGCACCAACCTCACTTGTTATGTGAGCCTTAACCTCAGTGGCACCAACCTCACTTGTTATGTAGTCCTTAACTTTAGTGCCACCAGACTCATGTTATGTGAGTCCTTAACTCAGTGGCACCAACCTCACTTGTTATGTGAGCCCTTAACTCAGTGGCACCAACCTCACTTGTTATGTGAGTCCTTAATTCAGTGCCACCAGACTCACATGTTATGTGAGTCCTTAACTCAGTGGCACCAGCCTCACATGTTATGTGAGTCCTTAACTCAGTGGCACCAACCTCACTTGTTATGTGAGTCCTTAACTCAGTGGCACCAACCTCACTTGTCATGTGAGTCCTTAACTCAGTGGCACCAACCTCACTTGTTATGTGAGTCCTTAACTCAGTGCACCAACCTCACTTGTCATGTGAGTCCTTAACTCAGTGGCACCAACCTCACTTGTTATGTGAGTCCTTAACTCAGTGGCACCAACCTCACTTGTTATGTGAGTCCTTAACTCAGTGGCACCAGCCTCACTTGTTATGTGAGTCCTTAACTCAGTGGCACCAGCCTCACTTGTTATGTGAGTCCTTAACTCAGTGGCACCAACCTCACTTGTTATGTGAGTCCTTAACTCAGTGGCACCAACCTCACTTGTTATGTGAGTCCTTAACTCAGTGGCACCAGCCTCACTTGTTATGTGAGTCCTTAACTCAGTGTGGCACCAACCTCACTTGTTATCCGTAGTCCTTAACTCAATGGCACCAACCTGACTTCTTACGTGAGTCCTCAGCTCAGTGGCACCAGCCTCACTTGTTATGTGAGTCATTAACGCAGTGGCACCAGCCTCACTTGTTATGTGAGTCCTTAACTCAATGGCACCAACCTGACTTCTTACGTGAGTCCTCAGCTCAGTGGCACCAGCCTCACTTGTTATGTGAGTCCTTAACTCAGTGGCACCAGCCTCACTTGTTATGTGAGTCCTTAACTCAGTGGCACCAACCTCACTTGTTATGTGAGTCCTTAATCCCGTGGCACCAACCTCACTTGTTATGTGAGTCCTTAACTCAGTGGCACCAACCTCACTTGTTATGTGAGTCCTTAACTCAGTGGCACCAAACTCACTTGTTATGTGAGTCCTTAACTCAGTGGCACCAGCCTCACTTGTTATGTGAGTCCTTAACTCAGTGGCACCAACCTCACTTGTTATGTGGGTCCTTAACTCAGTGGCACCAACCTCACTTCCTACGTGAGTCCTTAACACAGTGGCACCAACCTCACTTGTTATGTGAGTCCTTAACTCATGGCACCAACCTCATTGTTATGTGAGTCCTTTAACTCAGTGGCACCAACCTCACTTCTTACGTGAGTCCTTAACACAGTGGCACCAGCCTCACTTGTTATGTTAGTCCTTAACTCAGTGGCACCAGCCTCACTTGTTATGTGGGTCCTTAACTCAGTGGCACCAACCTCACTTCCTACGTGAGTCCTTAACACAGTGGCACCAACCTCACTTGTTATGTGAGTCCTTAAGTCAATGGCACCAACCTCACTTGTTATGTGAGTCCTTAACTCAGTGGCACCAACCTCACTTCTTACGTGAGTCCTTAACTCAGTGGCACCAACCTCACTTCTTACGTGAGTCCTTAACTCAGTGGCACCAACCTCACTTGTTATGTGAGTCCTTAACTCAGTGGCACCAACCTCACTTCTTACGTGAGTCCTTAACTCAGTGTCACCAACCTCACTTCTTACGTGAGTCCTTAACTCAATGGCACCAACCTCACTTGTTATGTGAGTCCTTAACTCAGTGGCACCAACCTCACTTGTTATGTGAGTCCTTAACCCCAGTGGCACAAAACTCATTGTTATGTGAGTCCTTAACTCAGTGGCACCACGCCTCACTTTTTGAGTCCTTAACTCAGTGGCACCAACCTCACTTGTTTATGTGAGTCCTTACTCAGTGGCACGCACCTCACTTGTTATGTGAGTCCTTAACTCAGTTGCACCTCCCTCACTTCTTATGAGTCCTTAACTAAGTGGCACCAACCTCACTTGTCATGTGAGTCCTTAACTCAGTGACACCAACCTCACTTGTCATGTGCCTTAACTCAGTGGCACCAACCTCACTTGTCATGTGAGTCCTTAACTCAGTGGCACCACCTCACTTGTCATGTGAGTCCTTAACTCAGTGGCACCAGCCTCACTTGTTACGTGAGTCCTTAACTCAGTGGCACCAACCTCACTTGTTATGTGAGTCCTTAACTCAGTGGCACCAACCTCACTTGTTATGTGAGTCCTTAACTCAGTGGCACCAGCCTCACTTGTTATGTGAGTCCTTAACTCAGTGGCACCAGCCTCGCTTGTTATGTGAGTCCTTAACTCAGTGGCACCAACGTCACTTGTCATGTGAGTCCTTAACTCAGCGGCACCAACCTCACTTGTCATGTGAGTCCATAACTCAGTGGCACCAACCTCTCTTGTCATGTGAGTCCTTTACCCAGTGGCACCAACCTCACTTGTCATGTTAGTCCTTAACCCAGTGGCACCAACCTCACTTGTCATGTGAGTCCTTAACCCAGTGGCACCAACCTCACTTGTCATGTGAGTTCTTAACTCAGTGGCACCAGTCTCACTTGTTATGGGTCCTTAACTCAGTGGCACCAGCCTCACTTCTTATGTGAGCCCTTAACTCAGTGGTACCAGCCACACTTGTTATGAGCCCTTAACTCAGTGGCATCAGCCTCATTTCTTATGAGTCCTTAACTCAATGGCACCAGCCTCACTTCTTATGAGTCCTTAACTCAGTGGCACCAGCCTCACTTGTTATGAGTTCTTAACTCAGTGGCACCAACCTCACTTGTTATGAATCCTTAACTCAGTGGCACCAACCTCACTTGTTATGAGACCTTAACTCAGTGGCACCAACCTCACTTGTTATGAGTCCTTAACTCAGTGGCACCAACCTTACTTGTTATGAGTCCTTAACTCAGTGGCACTAACCTTACTTGTTATGAGTCCTTAGCTCAGTGGCACCAACCTCACTTGTTATGAGTCCTTAACTCAGTGGCGCCAACCGCACTCCTTATGAGTCCTTAACCCAGTGGCACCAACCTCACTTGTTATGAGACCTTGACCCAGTGGCACCAACCTCACTTGTCATGAGTCCTTATCTCAGTGGCACTAAACCTTACTTGTTATGATTCCTTAACTTAGTGGCACCAACCTTACTTGTTATGAGTCCTTAGCTCAGTGGCACCAACCTCGCTTGTTATGAGTCCTTAACTCAGTGGCACCAACCTTACTTGTTATGAGTCCTTAACTTAGTGGCACCAACCTTACTTGTTGTGAGTCCTTAACTTAGTGGCACCAACCTTACTTGTTATGAGTCCTTAGCCCTGTGGCACCAACGTCACTTGTTATGAGTCCTTAACCCAGTGGCACCAACCTCACTTGTTATGAGTCCTTAACCCAGTGGCACCAACCTCACTTGTCATGTGAGTCCTTAGCTCAGTGGCACCAACCTCTCTTGTTATGTGAGTCCTTAACTCAGTGGCACCAGCATCACTTGTTATGTGAGTCCTTAACTCAGT